CTGTGTGCCGGGCTCAAGGGGGGCGTGGAGGGTGCCAATCACGCGGTCTCCGGCCTGTTTGACTTGGGAGGCGTAAAGTGCGCGCTGCTGGTGGATGCGACGAACGCCTACAACACGATGAATCGCGCTGCCGCCCTGTGGAACGTCCGCATTTTGTGGCCGCGGTGCTCACGCTTCCTGTTCAACACCTATCGCGGCCATGCGGCCCTCTACATGCGCGACCAATCCGCGCCGCTGTGGAGCCGAGAAGGGACCACACAAGGCGACCCCTTGGCCTCCCTCTTCTACTCTGTGGCCACCCTTCCGCTCGTGTGGGAGATGAAGCGGCCAGCAGAGGAGGGCCCTCAGGCGTGGTTTGCCGACGACTCCGCCAAGGTGGGAGGCCTTCAGCCGGTGCGCGACTGGTGGGATGAGCTGTAGCGGAGAGGGCCACTGAGGGGCTATCACCCCAACGGCAAGAAGAGCAAGCTGGTGGTGCGGGCGGGGTACGAGGAGCGGGCGGAGAGGTGTTTGGCGATACTGACGTGGACATCGTGAGTGGCGCTCGATATATGGGGGGCTTTGTGGGGACCGCAGAAGGCAAGCGGGCCTACGCCACTGAGAGGGTGCAAGAGTGGCAGCGGTGTGTCAACCGGATGGTGGACGCAGCGGCCAAGTACCCGCAGGCAGCCCACACGGCACTCACAACGTCTCTGCAGGCCGAGTGGAATTTCTTCATGCGGGTGATGCCTGAGGAACGAGCGACATTCGAGCCGCTGTGAGATGCCCTCACCCACTACCTCACCCAGCTCTCCAGCCATGCGGTGACCGCCACTGAGGCCCAGCTGATGATGCTGCCTGCGCGTCATGGGGGGATGGGGGTGAGGGACCCGACGGAGCGAGTGGCGGTGGCGTACGAGACGTCCACCAAGGGCACTTCCCTGCTGGTGTCCACCATCCAGAACGGCGACCCACCCGACGGCCGCCCTTCATTCAACCCCTTCCAGCACCGTGCCGATATGCAGCAAGCGGTCAGGCAGGGGCGGCGGGCGACCGATGAGGCTGCCAAGGAGCGCTGCGAGGACGGCTTCCAGCAGCTGCCCCTAGAGAGACGACGAGCGGTCCACCGGGCGATCGAGGACAAGACGGCCGGGTGGGTGACTTGCCGGCCTGACGCAGAGGACCACACCGACCTGACGCCTGACGAGTTCCGCAACAACATGGCCATCCGATACGCCTACGAGCCTCCCAAAATGCCCACCCACTGCGACGGCTGCGGGGCTCCATACTCGCTCGACCACGCCCTCAACTGTGGAGTGGGTGGGTTGGTGATTCGGCGGCAGAACGACGTGGTGGACGTGCTGTGCGACCTTTCTGCCGAGGCTTGGGGCGAGTCGGCGGTCAGGAAGGAGGTGGTGATTGTGGAGCCCGAGGAGGGGGAGAAGGGGGTGCGGACGGACATGGTGGTGAGGGGGGTGTGGGAGCGGCAGAAGGACGTGTCGTTTGACCTCTGCGTGACAAACGCCGACGCGTCGTCCTACCGCAACCAATCGACAGCCTCCATCCTCAAGAACAAGGCCAAGGCCAAGAAAGCCCACCACAGCCGTGTGTGCGAGGACAAGTCCATCCACTTCACCCCCTTGTGCGTGACGGTGGACGGTGTGTGGGGCAGAGAGGCCAATGGTTTTTTCAGCCGCCTGGTTGAGAAGCTGCGCACCAAGGCTGCGTGGGCGGACAAGTCGTATAGCCAGGTGATGGGGTGGGTTTGTGCTCGTCTGTCTGTTGCGTTGGCGCGTAGTGCGAGTATGTGTGTGCGTGGTGGGCGGCGCCGCTGGAAGATACGCCAGGCGGGCGCTGAGGATGGTGCTGGCATGTTTGTCGCGTGATTTGATTGATGGTTGGTCGATTGACGCAGTTCATTTCATGAGAGACCGACAGACTCTGCCTGCCGTTGCGCTATGAGTCAATGTATTTCCATGTTAGCATCTGTCAGTCAATTGGCGAGGGGCTTCGGCTTCGATGAATAATCACCACGTCGCTGCGCCCATGTGAGAAAGGGCTGGTGATGACCTCTTCTATAGTAAGCTGATAGAGGATCTGCTGGACGGTAACTTCCAGAGTCAGAGTGCTCTCAACTCAGTGAGACCAAGAGATTGGCCAGTCATAATAGTCCTTCCTGTCTATATATGGCATCATGACGTCCGGTCAACATAGAGTCACCTTCGGTGATGGCTGAAAGGATCGTCTGCACTGACATCATGCATAGATAGACATAGATCTTTGCTAGCTTGAAGCCAAGCTCGCACAAGCTTAGCTCGCAAGCTCGCATTCAGAAAAGCTGTGGTTCGACTTGCTTCGTGACACCAAGGACTCAGAAGTTCGCTAGGGGCGGCAATATCTTCTATTTTGCTCCTCCGCTGGCATTCCCTTGTCCGAAAATGAATTGGCTTGCTGCAGCCGTGATGCTCCTTGTCCAGGGCTCCTTCGCCCTTGTGCCTGCATCATCAGGAGGACTGCAGTCGAGACTGCGGGTAAGCAGGGACACAAAAGGACATGGCAAGAAGACACATACGCGCGCTGTATCGTCTTTTTGTCATGGCTCAGCGTCGGCACCGCGCTGTCGAGGGTGCAGTGAGCATGCAGATGCAGATGACACTTGGCAGCGTGAATCCTCTCCTGCCTCCCAATGCGAGGAGGCCCGCGTGCTGGAGCCTCAAGAAGGAAGCCAAAAGGAAGCGGACAATTCTCGCCCTGGACGGTGGCGGCGTGCGTGGGATTATTGCAGCTTCTATCCTGAAGGTATGTCCATGTGACCCCAAC